CTTTATGGACCAAGAATACAATATAGTAGAAAAAATAAATCATGATAATAATTATTTTTAAAAAAATAATACTACCTAAAAGTTATTATTTGTGAAATTTATCCTTTTCCCCTTTAGGCATACTGTTTGAAATATATCATTCGATTAATTCAAATTTTCATCGATATATCAGCTAAAGAGGTCAAGTTTATGTATGTTGAAAAGGGGTTTATTACAATGGGGAAATGAGCGGAGGTGGTCGAGGGGAGTGGCGAAAATATAATTTATACCTTTTGTGTGTAAAACTCGCATAATTAGATTTACTAAAGGAATCGAGCGTTATATATGATAAGATTATTAACAATCTCTGATAGTTATTAAATTATATAGTTTGAGGTTTAGACTTATACACGATCAAAATAATTATTTTGTACGTTTCAATTTATTATGTGAAAAAAAAATATACACTTTTTAATTCGAAAACACTTAATCCAATACTTCTCATTTTACACGAAATTTTTTATTAACTATATAATTATTACAAGCTCAAAAAACTTTTAGCATACAAAAGCTATGGAATAATTAAGTCCACAAACTTTTAAGTTTTATTTATTTATTTCTTAAATTGCCTATAAATTCAAATTATAACCCCCCCCCCCCCCCAACCCCAATTAAATAAGAAAAGACAAGTCAAATACTCATAGACAAGTTTCTAATATGAAATAAATAAACGAAAAAAGAAGAAGCATTTCATATATACTATACTTTTTAAAATAAAATATATAGTTCAACTCTAACCAATAAAATAACAAGAAAATTGCAAGGGGGATTTGGTATGTTGAAGCAATTAGTGGACATAAAATAAAATTGGTGAGATTGTTAAGCTCACGTGAAGTACCCTCAAAATCTGGAATTTTGTTTGCCAAAAGCTATCATTATTCCTACTAAATTCCACTTACAATTTTATATTTGTTCTCTTTCTATTTTTATATTTCACTAGTGATAAGTGATAACAACTCTATGGTCAGGGGATCTAGAAGGGGCGAGGATAAAAAGTTAGTATATTATATATATATATATATATGAGATATTTTTTAAAATTTTAGTTATATATATAGAGAGATTTTGAATCTGTTGAACATAAGATTAAAAGTTGACTTTGTTGTTTATAGGGTTCAAAATTCAGTTTGAGCTTCCAAATTTAAATTTTAAGTACTATATTTTTATTTCCTGAATCTCCTTATTGAAAATCTGATTTCGCCATTGTCTATGACCACCTTTTTAAATTAAAAAAAAACCCTAGGAAAAGTACTCAGGAAATCAATATTCTTTTTCAGGTGTGCATTTGATAAATTCACTTATGTATAATAGCGTAAAACACATTAAATAAATATGGTGCAATAAACTCAATTTATAAAATATTAAAAGATAATTGATCTCTAGCTTTTCTTATAAAATATCTCATGTTACATCAACTCGATCATTTTCATTCTACTTTTGTTTTTACTCTTCTCCATTTATTTTTTTCAAACTTTTTTTTTAATTTTCTACTTTTGATGTTCATTTTAGGAGGCTAATGGACCCTACATATATAGGTCCCACTCTTTAGATTTGATTTTCACTTTGGTCTACGTAATCACAATCAACATGTACGTGTGGGTGGATCTTATAAATTCTCTATGTCCTTTACCTAAATTTCATCTTTTTTTCGATAATCATTGTTAGCTAAATTTGAGGAAAGTATTACCAGTATTGATTGTTTTGCTCCGAGCGATAAAATTAACCTATAAAAATATGATATATTGAGTCCATTAATTATTAAATTAGTTTATTCCGATAGGTTCAGATTAGCTTATCTAAGTGTTAAGAACTTAAGATAGTTTGAACTAAATGTGTAATTCAAATTAATTTTATAAAAAAATATATTGACTTTTTTTTCCTTGATAAAGTTATATAGCCAAGATGGAGAAACTTTTTGTTAGTTTTGTTTGATAATAAATAAATTAGTAGAAATTAAGTAAAATAAATTGAAACGGATGGAACATTAAATTTTAATTTATGACTTTTGACTTATAAGTCATAAGTCAAAAGTCAATTCCAGTCGACTCTAAAAAGGAAAGTAAGCAAATTAATTAAAATAGAGGAAACATTAAATTATATATGGGGAGAAATGACAAGGGAAGGAAAAATAAGAAGCAAATCATTATCAGATGGAAAATGAAACTACCATTAATAAGATGAAAATGAAGATAGTCAATTAATTAAATTATTAAGGTTCCTTTATATTCACACATTTTTTGCTTAAAACCGAAATTAAACATAATTTTGCCAGTTTTTTTTAAAATAAATTAAAACTATAACCCAAATCAAACAAAAGAAATGTTGATTTTTTCTTTCAATATCATTTGGTTTTGATGTATGGTGAACACCAATATTGTACAATCCTTGGGAGCAACAAAATAAAATGGAATTAATTAATGGAGAATATAGTAAAAAAGAAAGATACAATAATTAGTGTCAAATAACATTATTAAATATTCCATTCTTGTGACTCCCATAATTTAGTTTTTTTCTAACTATATATACTAATAATTTAATTGATATGACACTGCAGACTTTTAACCATAAACAATAAATAAACAAATAGGATTCCCTAATGTTAATTAAACATAATTTTTGAAATAGTTATGGCAAGATTTTGTTTCCTAATACATAATTAAAACACAAATTACATTGGATCTTGAAGCAAATTTTGCTAATATCGATATATGCTCCAACGTTATGTGTGGTAAAATAAACTTAGGAATAGTACTTATTACCCCAATAACTTACAAACACATACATGATTTTACGCGCTAATTAAGGTTTAATAAATAATTTAAATACGAGTTAGGGTAAACAAATCTTAATTTTTAATTAATTATTAGTTGATGTAATAACTTGAGAAAATAATGTATGTTATCCAAAGATGTCACGCTTATATACGCATGATATTACATGTTTATGATTAGTTCTCATGTTCATTAAATTAAATTACGTAAACAATGGAAAAATATGAAGGAAAAAAAGTGATAATTTGTGAATTTATCCGAATGCGCTATGATAAAAATAATTTTTAGCCGTAATAAATATACACAACATTAGTTAATTGTTATCGAATCTAATGTCGCTATTGACTTTATAAACTTCCTTTAAACAAATTCGTAACTTATTTAAATTCAACTTAACCCGTCCATTGCACTCCTCGATCCGCTATTGAATATGTAGTACGTCATAGTTCAGAAGCATGCTGACCATTTCACTAACATGTAAACAAAATACATTATGATTAGAACATGGCATGGGTTCTTGAGTCCTAGTAATATTTTCCCACCCATTGCTTCAATTTTAAGATATTTAATCCAATAATGTTATTTTTTTACGTAAATAAAACAATAAAATTACAATGTTTTTTGTTTTTGCTCAGCAATGACATAAAGTTAATTAAATTGAAGATTTATTATAAAAATAAAATGACGAAATCAAATTTTTGAGATGACAAGAAATAATTGGGAACATGTGAAAAGCCAAGTATACACCATAATAGTGAGGGGATCGTGATAATATCAACTATCAAGCCTAGAATACCAATATAAATTATCGTGAGATGATCAAAATTTCTTCATTCTTTATTAGAAATTTTCGATTCAAAATTTGATTATAAAAAAATTTAAGTATGTTAAAAGCGTTACTTCAAAACATGCGTAAGACCCTATAACACACGAATACAAGTTAGTTCAACTTTAATATGAGCATCGAACTCACTACTTTATCATTTATAAATAAATAATGTAAAATATTACATACAAACACTTACTTGGTTTTGGAGCTAACTGCTCTCTCACTCTCTTGTATTTTACTATCAAACTCCAGCAGTTATGCCTCTTTCCCCTCTAAGCATGACTTTATTTATATGTTTACGTGAATTTAATAATTTTTGTATAGTATTTTAATAGCGATTATGAATTTAACTATTACTATTATCTATTAACTCACTATCATAAAATAAAGATAAGTTTTTGAGATAATTTTTTTCTTTCTTTTTTATTATTTAATATTTATAATATCACATCCTTATATACACTTTATAATTGTTGGACTATAATGATATTTTTTAAAATTAGATTACAATTACATAATTACCATTAAAAAAAACAATTTATCATCATATTTACTTCATTTATTATAATTTCCTTTTCAATTTCATAGTATCTAAACTCTTTGTCTAAATTCTAAATCCGCGGCTGAAAGTAAAGTTATATTAAACACAAATGTATACTTATATAAAAGGAAAGATTTTCATCCAAATGGTTAAACCATAGTTAAAATCAGACAAGTAAAACGTGACGGTGTAAACAGGACCAGAGTCAGCTTATGGTCAAGTAAAATGATTTTTATCTATATATACTACATATCAAACCCTTTTTGACTTATTCATGAAAATTCTGACTCAGCCGCTAAGCGCCGCTGAGTATCCTTTTCGACTTGTTCATGAAAAATTTGACTCCGCCACTGAACCCCGCTGAGTGCTAATATATCAAGGAGGGTGGTGGGAGTTGTAGGGATCCTAGGGGAAGATGGTGGAGGTGCATAAGAGAATTGCCAATCTCAATGTATTCCTTGCTTGGTTTATTTGTTAACCATTTTTTTTGCCTTTCTTTGTTTAATTAATCTTCTCTCTTTTCACCTTTAACATGTTATTTTAATGTTGTTGTTTTGCACTATCACCAATAGAAAAACTTCAAGTTTTTAAAACTGAGTTTGAGTAGAAACCAAGAAAATACAGAGAGAAAAAAAAACAGAGCAAAACCCAAGAAACAAAAAAGAAGGGATTTTTACTTAGTTTTTTGATATGCAATTGCAAACCCAAGAAGAAATTTTTGGAATTTGAGGCAAAGATGTCTTCTTCTTCTTCAAATCCCAACAAAAAATACCATTTTTTTCTTTTCTTGGTTACCCTTTTCTTCACTTCTTCTTCTTCTTCTTCTTCTTCTTCTTCTGCTGTTACTGATGTTGTTGCACCATTTTCTAATTGGGACATTCTTGATGATACCCCATGTAAATGGTCTTTCATAAAATGCAACTTTCAAGGTTTTATTACAGAAATCAATATTCAGTCTATTCATCTTGAACTTCCTTTACCTACAAATCTTTCTTCATATAAGTACCTGAAGAAGCTTGTTATTTCTGATGCTAACATCACTGGTACAATACCCTTTAACATTGGTGACTGTTCTTCACTTGTTACTATTGATTTGAGCTCAAATGGTCTTGTGGGTACCATTCCTTTAAGCATTGGAACCCTTGTAAACCTTCAAGATTTGATTTTGAACTCAAATCAGCTTACTGGGAGAATCCCAGTTGAGATTGGGAACTGTAGAAACTTGAAAAATCTTGTTCTTTTTGATAACAGGCTTAGTGGTGGTTTACCAAGTGAAATAGGGTTGTTGTCAAATCTTGAAGTGTTAAGAGCTGGTGGGAATAAAGATGTTACTGGTAAAATCCCAAATGAGTTTGGGGATTGTGGGAATTTGACTGTTTTAGGCTTAGCTGATACCAGAATATCTGGTTCTTTGCCTGTTTCTTTGGGTAAGCTTAAGAATCTTGAAACTTTGTCTATTTATACTACAATGTTGTCTGGTGAGATACCTTCTGATTTAGGCAACTGTACTGAGCTTGTGAACTTGTATTTGTATGAAAATAGTCTTTCTGGTTCAATCCCATCTGAGCTAGGGAACCTTAGAAAGTTAGAAAAGTTGCTTCTTTGGCAGAATAATCTTGTTGGTGTAATTCCAGAAGAGATTGGGAATTGTACTAAGCTGACTATGATTGATTTGTCTTTGAACTATTTGTCTGGGAGTATACCATTATCTTTTGGTGGTCTTGTTGTGTTACAAGAACTTATGCTTAGTAACAACAATGTTTCTGGTTCAATCCCTTCTGTTCTTTCACAATGTACAAGTCTTGTGCAGTTGCAGTTTGACACAAATCAGATATCAGGTTTGATTCCTTCTGAGTTGGGGAATTTGACTAGTCTTGTTGTGTTTTTTGCTTGGGATAATCAACTTGAAGGAAGTGTGCCTTTAACTTTGGGTAGTTGTAGTAACCTTCAGGCATTGGACTTGTCACATAACTCACTTACTGGTAGCATTCCTCCAGGCTTGTTTCAGTTGAAAAATCTTACTAAGCTACTGTTGATTTCTAACGATATTTCGGGTACTATACCTCGAGAAATTGGATATTGTAGCTCATTAGTGAGGCTAAGACTTGGAAACAACAGGATTGCTGGTGGAATTCCGAAAGAAATTGGAGGTCTTAAGAGCTTAAACTTTCTTGATTTGTCCGGAAATCGCCTTTCTGGACCAGTTCCTGATGAGATAAGTAGCTGTACTGAGCTGCAAATGGTAGACCTCAGCAGCAATACACTGGAAGGTCCCCTGCCTAACACTCTGTCTTCACTATCAGGGATTCAAGTCTTAGACGTTTCGAATAACCGGTTTGGAGGGCCTATACCGGCTAGTTTTGGGCGTCTTGTGTCATTGAACAAGCTGATTCTCAGTAAGAACTCGTTCTCAGGGTCGATACCTCCATCTATTGGCTTGTGTTCGAGTCTTCAATTGCTTGATCTTAGCAGCAATCAGCTCTCGGGCAGCATACCGATGCAGTTAGGAAAAATTGAGTCCCTTGAAATTACTCTCAACCTGAGTTTCAATGAACTAACAGGTCCAATTCCTGCTGAAATTTCTTCACTAAGCAAGCTGTCGATACTTGACCTTTCGCATAACAAGCTTGAAGGGAACCTGAATCCACTAGCGAGGCTCGATAATCTTGTCTCACTGAATGTCTCATACAACAACTTCACTGGTTATCTTCCGGACAATAAGCTCTTTCGACAGTTACCATCATCAGACCTAGATGGAAATGAAGGTCTATGTTCATTCGGAAGGCCTTCGTGTTTTCTCAGCAATATCGATGGAGTAGGAGTAGCTAAAAATGGAAATGATGAGGGAAGGTCAAAGAAGCTCAAATTAGCCATTGCATTGCTAGTCATCATGACAATAGCAATGGTGATCATGGGAACTATTGCTATCATACGAGCACGAAGGGCGATGAGAAGGGATGATGATTCAGAGATGGGAGATTCTTGGGCTTGGCAGTTTACTCCATTCCAGAAGCTCAATTTTTCAGTGGACGAAATACTCAGATGCCTTGTGGATACTAATGTCATTGGAAAAGGGTGCTCGGGGATGGTCTATCGTGCAGATATGAACAATGGTGATGTCATAGCAGTGAAGAAGCTTTGGCCAATAACCATGACTACAACTAATGGAGGCAATGATGAGAAGTGTGGGGTACGTGATTCGTTCTCTGCAGAAGTTAAGACGCTTGGTTCAATTCGACACAAGAACATTGTTCGATTCTTGGGGTGTTGTTGGAACAGAAGTACAAGATTGCTCATGTATGATTACATGCCTAATGGGAGCTTAGGAAGTCTTCTCCATGAGAGGAGCGGTAATCCTTTGGAGTGGGAATTGAGATACCAAATATTGCTTGGGGCAGCACAAGGACTCGCCTACTTGCACCATGACTGTGCCCCTCCAATTGTTCACAGAGACATCAAGGCCAACAACATTCTCATTGGTCTTGAGTTTGAGCCTTACATTGCAGACTTTGGCCTCGCAAAACTAGTCGATGATGGTGATTTTGGTCGTTCCTCCAATACAGTTGCTGGTTCTTATGGCTACATTGCTCCAGGTAAACATGTTTTTTTATTTCATGTCAAGTTACAATTCGTCATCATTTTCTAATTCCTAGCATATTATTCCGAGTATACGTTTTGCTTAGTTATAGTATAAGCATTGATTGCACATTGCAACAACAACAATATACACCCAGCGTAGTCCCACGCAATGCAGTCTAGGAAGGGTAGAGTGTACGCAAACCTTATGCCTACCTCAGAGGTAGAAAGGTTGTTTCCAATAGACTCGCTTCATGGAAAAACAAAAACAAGGCAATCTAGAAAAAGAAGTAACAGATGCGACAACGATTACACATTGCATTTATCACAATTTTTTCAAAGAATATCAGTAGTTCTTGATGATCACTGATCCAAGTGCTCCAATGTTGTTCATTTTTCATTACAGAATATGGCTATATGATGAAGATAACTGCAAAGAGCGATGTCTACAGCTACGGAGTGGTTGTATTAGAAGTCTTGACAGGTAAGCAGCCAATCGATCCAACAATTCCCGAAGGAGTGCATCTAGTTGATTGGGTAAGACGGAAAAGAGGAGGAATTGAAGTCCTCGATCCAAGTCTACACTCGAGACCAGAATCAGAAATCGAGGAAATGTTACAAGCATTAGGCGTAGCCCTGTTATGTGTTAACTCCACTCCTGATGAAAGGCCTACAATGAAAGATGTAGCCGCAATGCTAAAGGAAATCAAACATGAAAGGGAAGAATACGCAAAAGTCGATGTTTTACTCAAAGGCTCTCCAACAACAACTACTGATCATAATCAAGTAAACAACAACTCATCAAAGGGTGTTTTAGCAACATCTTCATCAGGACAGAAAGCAAGAAGTATGTATACAATGAGCAATAACACAAGCTTCTCTGCTTCATCATTGCTTTATTCATCATCATCATCAAATGCCAAAAGTGGTGTTTAAGTGATTCAACAAAATTTATTACATTTGCATTGAATTGAAGTTTGTCATATTAGTTACTATTAGTTTTAAGTTTCAATAATCCTATGTTTGTTTGTTTGGAATTTTCTGTAAAGAGAATTAGAAAGGTAGATATGTGCGACAAGTTGAAACAAAACAAGCCAACTTATGCTAATTTGGCTTTTTGAGCATTTTAAGCTTTGTAGCTACTAAAGTCAACTTTATTCCTCCTGGTTTTAAGGTTCATTTTTTAAGCTTTCAAACAAATATTTGGGACCTACATAAAAATGAGTATATAACAAAACAAAGTGCATGAAACACTAGTGATTATTGTACATCTTTTGTTCTTGATATAGGTATTTGAATAATGATACTCTAAGACCTTATAAATAGGGCAGAGGCTACGTACATCCATCCTTTTCTGACTTCACGGATCACCAGATTTGTTACTGTTGTTGTATATTATAAGGGGTTCATTTGGTACGTGGAATAAGGTAGGATATGCCAAGATTAAGTTTGGAATTAAATTTATATTGAATGTCTCACCTTATCTCATTCCAACTTTCAAGTGGGATAAATTAGTCCAAAAATTATAATTTCAAAACTATAATCCTGAAATAATTTAGTTTGCAAATCAAAGGACCCCTAAGACTACTTTGCTTTTTTCTTTGCTACTCCCAAATTCCTCTTTTTCTTGAAAAATTGACTAATAATTTATAATAAACTCCTAAAGAATTATGAACAAACTTTATCAACTTTGTGGATTTGTAGTGGGAAAGAAAATTTGGGACAGACTTTTAGGGGCAAAGCATTCCCCCACAAGCCTTTTTTTAAGGGTGGGTTTGGTATGTTGGAAAATATTTTCAAGAGAAAAACATTTTCCACTAAAAGGGGTTGCAATTATACTAACTTTTAATTTGTATCAATATAAATGATTTTTCTTATATTATATTATCTTGGTATTTAATTCAATCTTTAATACTCAATTTTTTTAGCAATACACTATGTAGTTTGCTATTTGTAATAGTATTGTTCATCATAATTATGTATATTTTTTTGAAAAGTAATTCACTCATCAACCAAAATTGAAACTATTTTTCATGAAAAATGTCTTGTGATCGTATTCTAATATAAATATTTTTCAAACAATAACACATGTCCTAATTTAATGATTTTCAAAAGATAACACATCGGCATACTGAATAATTGTCATGGTTTCAAATTTTACTAGATGTGGTGCAACAGAGTTGTTATTCTCTTAACAGATATTTCAGTTTTGAGCCTGAATATAGAAAAGTGCAACAGAGTTCTTTTTATGAATGAATTTTATGTTGGACAAATTCAAATTAGTACGACTTCAATACGAGTAATTTAAATTTTATTTTGTACTACTTGGGGGAAAAGTATCCTCCATTTATCTGAAATAATACTCCCTCCGTCCCTTTTTAGTTGTCCACTTTAGAAATGGCACATAGATTAAGGCAACAATGATTAGCACAGTGAAGTTACAATTTTACCCTTATGACAACTTTTCACTTCAAAATTACAACCACTTATTTGAATTAAAGTGAAATAAATTGGAGGGAAACAACATACACTTTTACAATTTTCAAGAAGTGTAAATAAGGGTATAATAGGAAAAAATTTGTTGTCTTTTCTTGATTTGTCAAAATGGACAACTAAATAGGGACAACTAAAAAAGGAAATATGGACAAGTAAATAGGGACGGAGGGAGTAATATGGGACTAAGCTTTATTGTTATGAAAAAATGATTCCCTTACCTAATTTGGACAATAATGTGGTCAAATATGAGTACTGAAACCCAAAGCAATCAATCATGAAAAATTCTCAATACTGAAAAAGTGTAACAAAAGCTAATTAATGCCTTAACTTTTAATGAGTTTTCCAAAGTTGAAAGAGGCATGCATACATATGACTGATTTGACATATGTAGTTAGTACTTAGTAATGTAGGAATCAAGTACTATTAGCCTCTTTGCCAAATTGTCATGCATGTGTGCCTAAACAATGTAAGCCCTCCTTTAGCTCTCACCTTTTTTTTTAATAACAACGTAGTGAAACAATATGAAAGTAGCAATGTCTAGTTTGTCAGATGAAAAAAAAGATTTCTTATGATTATTTATAAATTGAATAGGATGTAATGAAACAATATGAAAATAGCAATTCCTAATTTGTCAGATAAAAAAGATGATCTTATGATCATTTATAAATTAAATGGTATGTAATCTTAGTTTGTCAGATAAAAATGATATTTTATCAATCATTTACAAATTGAATGATATGTAATGAAATTATATGAAAGTAGCAATCACTAAATTACCAGATAAAAAAAATGATCTCTTATGATCATTTGTGAATTGAATGATATTGTAATAAAAAAAATATGAAAATAGCAATTCCTAGTTTGTCACATAAAAAATGATCTCCCATTTACAAAATGATGTATAATGAAACAATATGAAGTAACAATTCTGTGTTTGCCAGATAAAAAAATTGCCACCATTTACAAATTGAATAAAAAAAATAATATGATTATATCTCTTATATATAAAAATAATTACCTTTCATTATAAAAATAAAAATCTCTTATAAAAATAGACGGAACAATACACTTTCTTAGTTGCAGTGACTAATGTCATGACCCGTCACTTTGACATTCAAATAAGAGATAAATATAAGGGGGGAGAAACTATCCAAGTCTGTGACACTAGGCCCTTAGTTACAGCAAGAATCCTTTTGTATCTTTACAAAGCAAAAAATAAAGTAATATTTGGGGTGGAGCAAGATAGGGTTGAGGGGTTCATTCGAATTTCGTTCGATGGAAAATTATATTGTTTATATATAGTAGATATTGAACCCTATTAGACTTTTTCGTGTGTTCGAGTTTTTATATTTTGAAACTCTGTAATGGAAATTCTGCTTCTGCCACAGATAACGATGTATCATTCTATACTAAAAGACGCCTAAAACCAATGGACCTGAAGAAAATATACTAACGCGATTAAAACTTAACCCCAATTAATAGACATTATATATATAAATCTTTCGAGATAAATTTCTTTTATGTGATTTTAGGCCGTCTATCATATTTTCTCTTTCGTACTAACACCTTTTTCCAAAGGGTGGCCAAGTTATTGAGCCTGAGGCTAAACCACAAAGAGACCCAAGAACTAAACAAACCCAATAGTAGATTTGCTTTAGGTTGAGTACAATCCAAGTAATTGTCATCTGCAGTTTTTGGGAAATTCAAGGAAAAAGGAATTATATCGTTCAAATTCAATAAACAAAAAAAAAATACTTATTGTGAGTAAAGTAAAATAAAAACAAATCTCCATTTTTATAATTACAGGTTGTTTATAAAGTACTTAAGAGTTAGAAATTAATGATAATGGTACTATATATATATATATATAGATTATAAAATACTGAGTTTTAATTTCAGTTAAAATGGTACTTCAAAGTCTAACCCTTGGATTAACGTGATCATTTAGAATATTATTTTTTTTTAAATTATTATTTGTTATAATTTATATTATATAGTTTATTAGATAAGTTCGCAATTGAATAAGCTTGAAACTGGATAAGCTTGCAATTAAACAGATAGCTTAAAGACAACATATAATAACTTTTAATATATTTAAAAGTCAAATATTAAATCCAATAAAACCATAAAATTTAATTTTAAGGATCACAACAACAGAATTGGCCAAAAGGTGGAACACATTGGCCAGACTTAAATCCAATTCTTTTGCAAAATTCATTACAATCTGGATAGTTCTCAGACTTTCCTTGGCACACTGGTGATTTTTCTTCACCAACACTTCCTCTTGCCACCATCACTTTGACAAACAAACAAACAAAAAAATGAAATGAGAAACATATATAAGTGCAATAAATGTTGAAATTAACGAGTCGTGGCTGAATCAGAATTTTCAGTAAAAAGAAATAAACACAGAAAGAAGATTGACAAGTGGATTGATCAACTTTCACTGTAGAATTTAATTTTCCAGCAAAGAGGGTTCAAATGAACCTCTACTGTCCCCTATAGTTGTATTCCTAGACACAAATATTTAATTTACAATATAAAAAAATAAATACATGAATAGATGAGAAGATTCAATGTGGTAGAACCCTCACTACAACATTTTAGGCCTTTAGCCACCCCTGTAAAGTGTGGCCTAAACTATCAAAAAATGTGTTCTTTGATCAAAGGCTACACTTTTGGACTTTAGGCAACGCTTTCGAGGGGGTGGCCTAAAGAGGCGTAACCTTTGACTTTAGGCTATACTTTTCAAGTGTTGTCATATCAGCTACACTTAAAAAGCGTGGCCAATAAGGTACAAATGTCACACTTTGTAGCATCTCATTAGCAACACTTTTATTTGATGAAACTACAGTTCTAAGCGTGACCTTCGCTTATTTATAGGTCACACTTTAAAAGCGTAGCCTTTTATACCTCCTCTACAACAACACTTATAATTGCCGTCCCTATAGCCACACTTCCAAAATGTGACAATATTGTACAGATTTATTATAGCCACCATTTCTAATTGAAAAATAATAATTTAATTTTAATATATTATTTAATCACATAAATATATATATAAATGATCCAAAGCACCAAATTAGATAACAAATAATTCAAATGTATATTTTTGCAATAGAAAGCAATATTTGAAAGATTTCTATTAGCAATAAATATCCAAATATCAAATGTATTCAATCATATATATTACAGTAGTTGAAAAACTATTTATCGTTCCCTTCGATAAATTGAGTTGATTAGTGTCCACCATTCAAACTTGATCGCCTTCATTTCCCTACACATTCAAAATGAAATTAACACACTAGCCATGGTTAATTATCCTATGAGAGCTTTGGAAGAGGAGGAACAACATGAATCATGATGGAAGAATCAATTATGATAGAGTAGTACATCAAGTAAATACCAACATATTTCAGTTGGTTAAAACCAAGTATCCTAACAGAATGCAAAATATCTCATTATAGTAGCTGCGAGAATCATCATTAAAGAAATATTGATGGCACTAATTAAGGAAACCCTGGTAAGAGTTAATATGAAATGTGTTAAAGACATAATGGAGGAAATATTTTCTCAAGTTCAGCCTTGAGGTTATCCCAGACACAACAAACATTGAGGTAGAGACAACTGCAATTAGAAAAGCTATAGACTTCTGTGTTTTAGAATACTAAATGCATAATTGAGAATGACTCTCTTTTGATGAAAAATGTAGGAGAATATATGATGGTATAACAATTTCTATAAAAGAATCAACATACTCATTGACTCTTATAGAAGACATTGCACTTCTTTAGAATCGTTGTAATTTGTAGTTTTGTACACATCTAGATGAGGAAGTTTCATTTGATGACCAAGCATAAAACTAGAAACAAACTAAACACAATCGTTGTGGCTAATCCCCTACACATTCAAGTCTGTAACACTTCCAACTCTAATTATTGGAAGATCTTACCACCTAAAAATAAATATTCTGTTATGATGGAAGTATAACTCTCAGCATTAAGAAAACAGAACGACTGCCGCAAATGGAAACTACGGCATCAAACCTCAGCCATTACAAATAACACTGAAAGAACCCAACAATTAAAACAAATAAATCAGAGTAAAGGCTGAATAACCAAAGGAGATTTTTTAAAGAGCTGCAAGAATCTTCCTTATTAAAAAATAAACAAAATCATAAGTTTTTTCGGCTACACCTGAATGGAAAAAATAACCAAAAACTGATACATACCTCGTATACTTTCCTCCGATCATGAAGAGGGTATTGTGGTTCCAATTCATTCACAAGGAAAGGCCTGAGAAAGAGGAGATAATATAGCATCATAAGTTGTGCATTGTAATGGCAAAATTTATGTAATTATGTTAGATATTTCGTTATGACATTTACAGGGAAGAACAAAAGAATTTTGTCCAAAAATAAGTTTTTGTTAAGATGCCAAACTTCATCATTGCAACAGATATTTATCCTTGGAGCTTCACAACTCTAACAGTATCAGATCTTCTTGGTCTTGCGACCTTGTCTAGACAAAAGAAATATGACCAGCCAGTTCTTTCACTATTACAAATACCAAAATTTTACCTGAGGAGGAAAGATAGCCAAACAGATCAACGATAATTCCCGAAAAACCGAGGACAGACTGGCGCATCATCTCGGTGGGAAAGGAACGGACATAAGAGGAACAAAAAAGAGCAACACAAATAAAAGGAAAAGGCTCACGCCTTTTATTTTCATTTTTTTAAATTTTTTGATGAAGTGTGTCCTGAATTATGTGCTATCCTTGGAGCTCCTAATGAATGCTCAGATCTGCCAGCAAATCATTTATAGATTGCCAGAGGAATCAATCACAAACATCATATTTTACACTGAAGTCTGAAGCATAGTATATGTGCTATCAAATTTTAGACCCCAATAGATTAAAAAGAGAAGGAGATTGACAATCAATTTATGACATCAAAACCTTAAGCTTGTTGTTTATACATGTTCAGACAGACAAGTCTTGTGATTTTATATGGCTATATACAGAGGCTGGACTTCTAATAATCAGAGAAAAATCCATAACACCTATATTGCAAGCATGCTAATGAAAATCTATGCTTGTCAAAATAGATATTCAGAGAAAACAAAATGCCACAAAAGTCAAAGCGAGCATGCCTAGACATTAAAACAACATGGTGCAAAGAATGAATGAAAGTTACTTTCTTAATGAAGCATATGCTTCTGCATTCTTCAAAGGATATCCACTGGAGTAGAAGGCAATCAAGCAGTCGCATAACGGCCAGCTGCCACCATGACATAGTACACTAATAAATTAACATGACACATAGTATATAGTACTCTCTCCGTTTCATAAAGAATGACCTGGTTTGACTTGGCACGAAGTTTAAGTAAATAAAGAAGACTTTTGAATCTTGTGGTCCTAGATTAAAGTTATGTCAAATGTACAAAATTGCCCTTAATCTTGTGGTCTTAAACATGCCACGTGGAAAGCAAGAAGTAAAATGTTACCAAAAAAGGAAAGTGGCCATTCTTTTTGAAACTGACTAAAAAGGAAAGGAGGTCATTCTTTGTGAAACGGAGGGAGTATATAGTATAGCTTATGACAGACACGATTTTTCATGGAAATGATGCATAACAGATCATAAAATACAAAGTAGCAATGGATGTACAACTCAATTAGATCCTCAAGAATAGTTTTGTCCCCAAAGTACACAACCTACAAGTAAAGATCATATACTCTTAATCACAAATAAGAAAATACACATTGCAAAATAAGTATAAAAGATGAATACCTCAAATTCCCCAAAGCACTGCAATCATTCAAGAACTGAAAATATTTAAATTTCATCAAACAAAGGGAAAACGAATCAGTGTGGGGGTCCCTAATATCTGTCTGCTGGAAAGCTAATAACTAGTAGACTGGTAATGGTGCATGCTCTCAATTGCAACCAAAACATAGAACAAAACCTCGGAGCCGCATTTCACCTTCTTTTCCATTACACAAACCAGGTGCAACACATATAAAAAAACAAAAATACATTTGCAGATTATCTAGAAAATCTGATTATAGAGAAATCATGCAGATTCAAATTCAGATCTTTCTGTGAATTACCTAAGCAAGGTAAAATATTGCTTAATCCAGGCAACGTACAAGCTCATAATATCGGGTTCAATCTCAAAAAGATTTTAACTCGATGACAACAAATGAAGAAGCACTACTCCAACACAAGAATTTTAACAATGTTAGAAATGTGGAAAGGTGTCAGCACCGAATATAACATATATAAATATACCTAGATTTAAAAGAGGAAATTATATGTGTTCAACTCAAAGTGTCTGATGTTATATTTAATAGGTGTCAAAATAAGGGCGAACAACATTCTTGCACCCTCTTTCACATTCAAAAGTTCAAGATTTAAGTTTCGTGTGAATGTAAAATATAAAATACCTTCTCAAGAACAAAAGCTTGAGTTGAATCGGAAGAATTTGTAAAATTTCACCCTCTTATAGCCCGTACAATGCTATGCTAAAGGGACTAGGATGGTTTTACTCTAATAACATCAGAAAGGTTGAAGTCGGGACTGATTCTTTGCTACTTGTCCAATGGATTACTAATACTTCTAAACCTCCCTGGACCATTTAAAATGATATCCAACATATTAAGAGGGGGATACAAAATTTTGAAGTTACTACCATTCAACATACTTATATAGAAGGTAATCATGTCGTTGATAGATTAGCAAACTATGGAGTGGAATGCACATGCACAGAATGGCTCTCTACACCTCAACAATTACCTATCGAGGCAAGGGGAGAATATAATATGGACAAACTTGAATTCCCGTGCTTCAGAAGAAAACAGAACTACAAGACCATATCTCTGGAAAGGAACTTGGAAAGTGTTTATACTGATAAATTATGCAGTTATACTTGAATGTATTAGAAAAGTCACATTCTTGAGATGTTTACAGAAGTAATCAACTTGCTATAGGTAATATGGAGTGTGTTTACTACAAACTAATTCTATTTCACTACATGTCATTGCTGCATGTATGAAGTTACTAACTTAAACATCAACCATCTTACTCCTGCAAGCTCGGACAAAATTGTCTGCTTCTAATACTAATAAAGACTGTTACAAAAGTTCATAGAATGATGATAAAGCTAGATTTATGGAAGTATATTTTTCTTGTCTTCACTGAAAGGAGAAGTGAGAACTTTGGCTAACTTATCACATACGATAGCCTTCACTGACTTGTGCTCTTTAAGAAACACATACCCAATTTTTTAGACTTGAGTGCTCTTTAGACTTCTATTTTTTCAATTGAACCTTTTTATACTAGCTTTATAATATGAAGGACCTATTCATTTCTGCAATTTACTATGGCTTCTCAATGCATCATTTAGTCATCATTATGTGCTTATGAACTTCTCCTAGCTGTCTATTAATGTTGATCTGCTTTCATCTCATCATCACATGGAAAATGCTTACCCGGGCTCCAATATTGCTGATGGTAACCTTGATAAATGGTGAGGCAAAATGTGTGGAAGCACAATTTGATAAAGACACAATAAGAAAAGCAATATAAGTGTTAAGAAATATATTTGGGTGTGACATTTCTGATGCCACAAACAAATTAGTCCCAAAATTTGGATTCTGCTAAGTTTGACTGTCCAACTTCTTATGTGTAATATTGGATTGAGATGAGCAACATAGAGAGTGATTCATATAGCTGAACCAAATTTATTGATAGGCAACTATACCACCATGTGTTTTCTTAAGTTTTATGAACTGTCTACACTTACAGTGGTTTGTCCAAACAGATTGCGGAGGTCAAAACCCCCGCAAAATGACCACCGCAAAGTGGTTACAGCGGTTCTCCCAAAACCCCTACAATCAATTTGCGACAGACTATAGAATAGCGTTTTCTTAAACCGCCGAGACAATAGATTTCGGGGTTTACAACCCCCAAAACTTCTAATTTTAACCCCTGCAATTTAACAACTCTTTTGTAGTGTCATTAAACTATATTTTTTTCATGCTGATCAAAGCTCAATGTGCATTTAAGTGGATTAGATTATTATGAAAATGGTAAGGACATGAGTGTTATCAAGCAGATTTTTCTTCAAAATCATTATTGTGTTGACAAGCACATTTGAGAAATAATCATTTACTTTTAAAAAAAAAAAGGGGGTGGGGGGGGGGGGGGATAAGTACTACCTTCAGAACATAGATACGAAAATATTCAGGTAAAAGTAAAACCAAAACTGAAGCAGCACAATATCTTGTAGTTTAGTGCAACTAAATAGACTTCCCTCTTAATTGAAAATAGACAATTTCTAAGACATTTACACGCTTTCAACTAAATATTTCAATCTTAGCTTACTGCTGATGTCCATGTTATCTCACAGTAAAAAACATTTACTCATACATCGGCACAGATAATCTAAAAAACAAACAAAATATAGCACATATATTTCAAAACTCCATCTACAACACCACTCCAGAACATCTGAACTATTTAAATGAACACACAGTTTAAATGAGAAGGTTATTTCGAACTAAAATTGCATCTAACCTTCAAAACGTACAAAATAAAAACATACTAATATAGATTGTGATTTTGGAATATACCAACAATTGGGTGAGACTGATGAACGAGAAGAAGGCTGGTATATATAAGTTGAGTTCCTTAATCTATCTCCATCACCACAAATCGTATACACTCCCGTAGATTCCCCAATTTATCCAAACGATGCCGGAATTCATTGAACTATTTCTCCAGTTTTCAGACGAAGACAAAGAAAGATTAGGAAAATCACCACATGTCATCAAAGTAGAGAGACAATGACTTTACCGATTGAAGAACTCGATAAGGTTACAATGGAGAAATATTGGGCGGAAACGAGGAGGAGAGGGAACTAGGGTTTAGGGTTTAATTTCTTCTTTGGAGAAGAACTTTATTTTAGAGTTATTAATTAAAAAGGCTTCCTAACTTAACAACCGTTGAACCATCCACCAATGTTAATTTAATTTAGCACTAATCTAGAATTAACAATGAGGACCAAATTTTGCCCACCTACTTATTAATGGATCGTATGTAGCAACTTCATTCTCACGCAGATATATTTCTGCTACTATTAATATAAATTGATTCACTTTGTTAATTTAATATATTACTTTGTTATTTTTATTATTGAATTTTATTTATTATTATAAATAATAATTAAATTGATATAAAGGGTTATCAATGATTATCTTTCATATTTTGTCCAATTAGAAATTAGTGAGATCTGATAAGAAATAAATAAATTGGAGGGAGAGTTAAATATTTTGGAGGGAATGCAATATTTTAGTGAAACTTTTAGGAAAACTATATGGCCACAGTTTAAAGTGTTGTTTTGACTATTATAAAAATAGTACACTTTAAGGGGGTCGTTTGGTAGAGTATGTAAGAATAATGCTGAATATGATGTATTAGTAATGCATGCATTAGTAATACTTGCATTATTTCTTATACATTGTTTGGTTTGATGTATTGGAAATAGCAAGTCTTGTATAAAGACTATTAAAAAAATATTTGTTTACAAAAATACCCCCACATTCTTTTACAAAAATAATAGAGTAATAATTATTATTATTATAATTATAATTATTATTAATATTATTATTATTAGAGGGTAGTTTTGTCATTAGTTAATCTAATGCATGCATTAAAACCATTGCATTGCTAATACCTAGAAATCCATGGTATTAGCAATACACACCTTAATACACAATAGAGTGTATAACTAATACTAATGCATAGGTTGAAAAAGAGTACCAAACAAGATACTAGTAATACACAATGCTAATGCATGCGTTATTTTTCCTAATACACTCTACCAAACGACCCCTAAAAGTGTAGTCATATATGTAAATAAGCGTTGTCAATTATATCATGATGTGGCAACGCTTATAAAGTGTAGCATATATCACTAAAGAGCACACTTTACAAGTGTTGTCAACATTAGTGTGGCCAAAATCTAAAAACTAAGGCTACACTTTAAAAGTGCACCCAAATATATTTTAGACTACACTTTACAAGCGTTGTCCAGAATTAATGTGGCCTTAGGCCTAAAATGTTGCAGTGCCTCATTCCACCTCCCTAGCTCCGCCCTTGAAAACAAGTAATTTGATCTACGAATATTCGATGTAAAAATTCTTCTTCTAAAATAATTTTTTGTATTTTTTTATATTAACGCCTGCATCGCATAAGCTTAGCCAACATAAAAAGGTATGACCAAATTCAAAACGAGCACGATCGTGAATAGATTTTTGTGAATGATAATCAAATGAGTAGACACAAAAATCATATAAATTACATTTACATATATACTTACCAACTGTGAGAAACAAGAGAATGAGAAGAGCACTCCTTAAGATTTTTTCAGCCATGATAGAAAAAAGACTGATTTTGATTTCTATAATTTAGGGTTTATAAATGACTTTAGAGTGGTACCATAGTATATATAGGTGGTAACATATATATATTGAGTTTAATTTTTTCGTTTAATTAATATTTTATGTGTTTTGGTCAAATTAATACTTAATGTGTGACTGTTAACTTGGTCAATTTTTAAATAAAATTAATACTTTATGTTTATGTGTAACTGTTCAATTAACCTGGTGATCCTTAAAATATTACTTTTAACAAAGATTATCCTTCAAATCTTTT